ACTTTTCTGTTTCTAATGGTAAATCTAGTCTGCATTTCTTTCAGTTCTTAATAACTAGTTACATGCACTTTACTAAGTGTACAATATATATTGTTAAATTGTATCATTGAACTAATATTTACTCTCTGTGTGTGTGTGGAAGGGCTTTATCATTATTTCTGTGTTTTACATTTTAATTTGATGGAGGATTTATAAGTTTGAAAGACTGAGTTTAAATTTTTGTTTAATAGCCAATCAGCTGTTAGTACTATTAAATGAACCATTGAGAGTTGCAGAAGACAGAATGGTTGCTTCTAGTATAGAAGGTAAGTGATATTTAACTTTAAGACATTTTTGTGTAATAATGTGTTTTTGATTCTTTATATCTACATTTATGTAATTTGTCTGATTTGGCTAGTTGTTACATGTCTGGTTGTAGCCTTGATTAAGAATTATAGAAAATAATAATCAACCTCTTGAAATGAAATTTATGGTATTCTCTTTTAATTAGTGTGAAATAATTAAAACAAATGTTTTTTCTAGGTGTTATAGTTAAATATTTTTGTTCCAAATTAATTTTTTTATTATTATTTTTTTTTATTACCTGATGGGAACTTGTTTGTTATTTATCTCAAGTCTCGCAAGCTGTTTTTTTCATGTCTGATGTATTTTTCATTTTCCAAAACAAAATAGGCTTAGATTGTTAGTTTCTGTATATGTTTGGGTAATTACTTCTGATACTTGACATAGTATGCCCATCAACTTGATCAAGAAATGTCTTGTAATTGTATTACTAAGATCTTTGTTGTACATTTAAGTTTTTATTTTCAATAGAAATGTAGGAGCAGAATGGCTCATAAGTTCAGTTTAGTTGTAGTTAAATTTTGTTGTGCATAAAAAAAAAAAATAATAGAAAAAAATAAAGTTTTTATACGTTTCATTCAGCTGGTAGAAATCAAGGTTTAATTAAATTAAGTTTGGTTTATAATTGTAGTGGAAACTATAGCAATAGTCTAAATGTATGTTGGAAAATATCGTAGCAGGTAAGTTGTCTGTATCATTAGAAGACGAAACTTTTCTAATTATCCTAGATATTATATTACCCTGTTTTTGTTTGGCATCAAATTAATTGTGAAATAACTTGCTCATGAAATATTTTAATGATATACAAAAAGAGTATAAAA